CCCCAGGTCCTTCTGCTGGGAGCACTGCCCACAGCAGCAAGAGGAGGTGGCTCCAGAGAACACCACCTGTCTCATCTGCCTGGAGCCTGTCGAAGGCAGAACGACTTACGGGACCATGGTGTGCCCAGCATGCAGACATGCCTGGTTCCACAGGGCCTGCATCCAGGTAGGAGCTGTTGCCTCATCCTGGGCACAGCAGGCTCTCAGCAACACCAGATCCTCACTCGTGCTCCCTATCTTTCTCCTGCAGGGGCAGGCTATCAGCTCTGGAATTTTCTGCATACAGTGCCCTCTGTGTAGAAATCAGAATTGTTTTGTTCTGGAAATGTTCCACATGGGGATCCGAATCCCCATAAGGTTCGTGTCTTCCTGCTCGCCACTGTCCACACCTGGACCTGCTCCAGCAGTCATGGTCCTCCTCTGTCCCCCAAGTCTGGGCTTTAGCTCCATGGAAGAGTTGGAAACAGGGTGGCAGGGGAAGAGCACGGAGGGCCTACATTTGCCTTATGCTGGGGCAGCAGGGGCTCATCAATTTTCCTTTCTCCAACAGACCTCCATCATGGGAAGCCAACAACGCCTATGCAGAATTGAATGAGAGGCACAGATGCTGCGATGCCAAGGAGTGCCTTTGCCCAGGAGGCAGGAGGGTGGCAGAGAGAGAGGGGTAAGTTACCAAAAGTGCACCCCGGGGCTCAGCATGGGATCTGTGTCTCAGCAAGGTCTCAAAGCAGAAGGGCTGAGAACAAGAGCTCTGCTGGACGCTCCTGTGCAGTGGGCGCTTCCTCTTCAGAGACGTGAACCTGTTTCTGTCCCCAGGCCCTGGCAGCTTTTCCTCTGCTGCTCCTGCGCTGCTGAGGGCACACACAGATGCTGCTCCAGCTTGGGGTCCGGCCACTGGGTCAGATGGGAGTGTGACGGCTGTGCTGGCCTAGGCACCTGTAAGTGTCAAAGCACCCGGGTACTCCTGGGCTAGGGCCAGGGGCCAGGCAAGGTCTGGCAGTGGATGCCCGGTGTTGGCTTGGCAGAGCCTGTCTGCTCACGGAGGGCTGGGGCAGCGCTCCGGCCTATCCTGCCCCAGACCTTGCGGCCATACCTTTGACCTTCCTGCTTCCCCTTGCAGCCTCTGCTGCCAGCTCAGAGTTTGCTGGTGCCAGCACTGCCAGCCCAGCAGAATCAGGGCAGTCTCCTGCATT